TGGCCTAACAGTTTTTGCTTTGTGGCGGAATTTATGGGGATTTTCTTATAGCCTAATGTAAGGCCCTTTTCTGTAACATTCCACGGGCACCTGTAAAAAAGGCTGTGTTCCTTGTTTAAAGACTACAGAGCTTCGTATAACACATACACACTAGTAATATTTTTCAAATTCTCTTTATCTTTACTTACTTTTTGACTTCAGGTTCGTATATTGTATTTTGTCCCTTTTAGTGCTTCAGGGCGTAAAGTATCATAACTGCTGTTTCTCCATTTTGGAATGTGCCCATCAACCATGTTTTAAATGTCATCTTTGGATGTTGTTTTAGGTCTCTTGTCAGGATTAGTGAAGACTCTCTTTGTCAGTCCCCAAAAAAAACTGAATTACCATTTTGAAAGCAGTGAAGCCAGCAGTGACAACACCAAAAGAAAAAAACAAAGTAGAAGGGGGTTTTTTAACTCCTTCTTATTTTCTACTCAAGATCATATTAATAATAATCCAATAGTATGCAATATTATCTCTTAATCTGGATAATTGATAGTGATGAGATCCAATTACAACTTTTTTTTTGGTCCCTCACTTGGGACACTGAGAAGCAGCCTCCTCCTGTTAGAAACATTACGATGTGAAGTGGTAAAGCGCATGCATAATTCTCCAGAGCCAGAGAGATTCGTAGGACAACACACACTTCCTTTTCCTGCCCTGTTGCAACAAGTGCGAGTGCTCTCTAGAGATGGAAGACAGAGCTTCGTAGGGCCACATTGTTGTTCCAACAGTGTCAGTTTGTCAGCTCCGTCTCTTTCCAGGTACAAAAAAGAAATGTCTCTTGGTAGCCGTCCAGAAGGCTCTTGGCCTGAAAAAAGGAGCATCCAAGAATCAGGTGTAGTATTAGAATATCCAAGAGTCTGATATTAATATTAAAACTCCTTTTTCTTTTTTATTCACATTTGTCTCCACCAATAATTCTCAAACCCTGGCTGCACTCTGGAATCCCTGGGATCATCTAGGGAGCTTTTAAATAGGAATCCTTGGGAGCTGGGCATTGGTCAATTTTAGCCTCTTCTAATGTCAAGCCTGAGCTATCTTGGCTCATTCCTTTACTTTGGACTCTTCAGAGTCACTTTGTTTTAGCTTTGTGTCTTGTCCCAGAGTGGGGGCTACATATTACTGGGAGGTAACATATGTACATTTAATGTCATTAATGATGTTTTGGGGTTTTTTTCCCTAGCATTTTCATTTACAGTCTCCCCCTCCCTTTGTACTTCCTTGTTGTTTCCTTTGAATTTCTTTTTTTTCCTAAATTGACTGCTTTGCTTTTTTCCCTTCAGTAATTTTGAAGATAAGCTATTTCATATTCTGTTACTAATTACACCTAACATCTTTAAAAACATGCTCCAACCTATATTTCTAAAATTAACCACAGAAACTATAAAACAGAATTTCTTGCAAGATGAGAACATTAGCATATTTCCTTGCTCTAACTTTACTCTTTATATCAGTATAATCTGGAATATTTCACCCTGGGCTTTGGGCAGGAGTAAAATCTTATATCTTTTCTTCCAAGGAATATTTGTTACACTTGCATTCCATTTGATAACTATGTTTATAGCAATTATTTGAATTCATTATTATATTGGTTTATTTGCTATTGCCAATCTATTTTTTTTTTACTTTTTATTAACCACAGTTTGCCTATACTTCAATTCTTCATTTTGATTCATCTCATTTGGATAGAAAGCATCTTTGAGTGGTGTTTTATGAATGTTATGTGACTAGCATATTTTTTGAGGCCTTTGATATGTGAGAGCAGCTTTCTGTTGTCTTTGGTATTTAACAACATTGCTGGGTCACACCCTTTTCTACTCTAAATTATTTAGAAGCACTGTGTCTAATAGAAATGCAACAAGGCTCATGGCACAGTATTATACCCTGTTTTCCAGAACTGACACAGGCGTCCACCTGTTTTTATAGACTTTGGTCCATTTCGTTGGTTGAGGTTTGAAGTGGGATCGGTTTGTGAGGCCCACGGGTTCATGTCACCGTCTTTTCAGATGGTACCAACCATTAGATACTCATTGATTCATTCAGCAGATGTTGGTTGATCACCAGCAATGTGCCAGGCATTGTGGGAGCCACTGGGCATCAGACCAGATTTCCGCTCTCATGGGGTATCTGCGCACGTGCTGGGGAGAGGGAGGGACTGACCATAAACAACTAAACACGTGAACAAGATAAGTTTAGAGAATAATGAGCACAGCTATCAAATATAGCTGCTCGAATTCCAGAATGGTGACCCTGGAGCTTTACAACAAGGTGACCCTGGAGAAAGACTGGAGAGAATAAAGAATAGAGGGACAGAGTGATGGAGGGGGGGCCACGGGCTCGGGCATTATTAATCAGATTCTCCTCTGCAGCAAATCCATCCGTTCACATGCTTACGGCACCCCGATCATCTTCCCTCTGAAACTCTAGCACTTTTCTTTGCTTCAGTCTGCCTTGGGCTTACTCTGCAGGCCGAGAGCTTTGCATTTGCCCCTCTATCTTTAAGGCGTTTGCCTTTGGGTTCTGATCCCAATTATTTGCATGATTCTCCAGCTGGACTCCCACAAAGCTGGAGACAGGATGGCCGAGAGTGGCATCGTTGGCCAGCCCCCCGACCCACTTCAGTGCTGACATAAGGCTTGGGGTGGGCAGGTCTTCAGCAGATTCAGGGACACCCCCGGCAGGCCCAGTGGGCAGCATGGTTCTCACCCTGGGAGACGGTGTTGAGGGGTGGCTGGGAGCTTAGTCCCTGGAGTCAAACTGCATGGGTTTGAATTTGGCACTACTATCTACTGGCCATGCGACCCTGGCGAGTTACTTACCCTCTGTGCACCTCAGTGTCTTCATCTTTCAATGGGGTTAATTAAACAGTACCTACCATGCAGTGTCACAGTGACAGCTAAATTGAGTAATTGGCTAAAGCACCTAGAATGGTGCCTACACTTAGTAGACCCTTGATAATATATAATAATCATTGCTATTAACTATGTCTTGTATTGCCAAAAAGCTTTTTCATGTCCTTCTCTCCCCTCGGCTCAAATTCTTTCTTTATTTAAAACATACAGGAATTACGGGGAGGAGATCGAATGTGTCTTAGGCCCAGGCTCACTTTGCCGAATTTCATGGGAGGGCTTTTTAGTTGCAGGTTGGAAAAGAAATACCTTGAGTTATAAAGGGGAAGGAAGATGGGTGGAGTCAGGGGCAGTCAGGGAGAACAAGGAAGAAAGTCACCCCAAGGAATCACTAGTCCCTTTGTTGCGTGTGGTTCTTTTCTTTGCCAAACGTGATTTTGTTATGTTTCATCTTAACTTCATTATAATTAGTAAGTCAAATATTGCACTCACCTAAGCATCAATATTATTAACACCAAACATCAGTATACATGTTATAAAGGGACTCACATGTTTATCCATGTTTGTTTTTATCTTCTCTGTACTTTTGCATATTGAAAAATGTTGAGAATGAACCTGTCTCATTTTTGCAGTCGGAAAAATTAAATGTTAATTCATTTTGAAAACATCTGACCCAGAAACCTACCACCTTAATACAATTTTTATTCGGGGGCTCATGTCCAGTCTTCATCTATATACAAACAAATATTTAATAGCTATAATCAAAAGCACACATATAATTTTATGATCTACTGCTTTACTTAAAAAGATGTTTAACACTCTTTCTACAGGGTCATATTTATCACTTTAATGAGTGCGCTCAAACTGCATCACATTAAAGGCTGTAATTTACCTCACATTATTAGGCTGACATATAGTTTGTTCGCATCTTTTCTCCATAATAAAACTATGTCACTGTACACATCTTTGCCCAGGCGGCTCTTTTTCTTCTGAATTAATTCCCAGAGATTACTGAGTCAAAGTGTTTGAATAGTTTTGTGGCTCTTGATAAAAACTCATATACTCCCTTCAGAAAGCATTATATCAACTTTACTCCGCAACTGGAAATAAATGCATGTGTGAGTTTCCGTGAAGCCTCAACAATTTGGGTTTTATAGTTTTTCTATATTTTTTCCTAGTGTTATCATTATTAATTCTATTTTCTCCCATGTGAATCCTCTAAGCATCATCTCGGTGATTTTCTTGTATAATTATAAAAGCTATAGTTTGATACAGATATTGTTTATATTTTCCCTGTATCATAGTTGTTGCAGTTATTTTTTTCATTCTGTTATTTTCCTTTTTAGCTTTGGTTTAGTGTGTGTTTGTTTTTCCATTCATAGCACTTTTCTTGCCTCTTCCTTGTTGCAGGGCCTATGAGGAATTGCCATGAAAAGGGTTTAAAATAAGGATTTTCACAAGGGTGGATCCTTCGGGTGAATGAAGTAGGGAGAGGACAGGACTGGGCAGGGCATCACAATGAGACGCTGTCACCTCCCTCCCCCAGTTGTCTCAGAAGCTGTGGTCTTGAAGGACGGTGTTCCTGGCACCTCCTTAGCACAGCGGGATAGCTTGGGGTGGTCAGAATCCCCTTGGCACACATTTCCCCATCAAAAACGTTTAAAGGAGAGAAATGGACCTGGACTGTCTCCACCCTGGTCACCCCCAGGGGAAATACCACCACTGTGTCATTGAGCAGTGTCCTTTCCTCCTGCTGCACACCAAGCTGAGAGAGGTCGGGAACTGTGACTCTACACTTAGGCTTGAATGGTGGTTTTTCCCCACCCAAGGGGCCCAGAGCATGCAGACCCTGCCTGGGTGAGCATGCTGACCACAGTAAATGGACCAGCTTTGCCACACCCACCCTTCGCCAAAGGGACCCCCAGTCCTAAGGCCAGCATGGACCCCAGCATGTCTCCCGCTAGAGCTCAGAGCCCGGCCGGTCTAGCCCAGCCCTGTGCCACCCTTTCTTTCTGTTGCTCTCTAGACTAAGAAGCTTCCCCACCAGCCCTCAGTGGCCCCGGCAGAATGGTGAGGATGTCACTGACCTCCCCTGCTCTTCTCTTGCAGTTTCCTGCTTCTTCAACTTCACCAGCCCGTCTGGGGTCGTCCTGTCTCCCAACTACCCTGAGGACTATGGCAACCACCTCCACTGTGTCTGGCTCATCCTGGCCAGGCCCGAAAGCCGCATCCACCTGGCCTTCAATGACATTGACGTGGAGCCTCAGTTTGATTTCCTGGTCATCAAGGATGGGGCCACCGCCGAGGCCCCAGTTCTGGGCACCTTCTCAGGAAACCAGCTCCCCTCCTCCATCACAAGCAGCGGCCACGTGGCCCGTCTCGAGTTCCAGACTGACCACTCCACGGGGAAGAGGGGCTTCAACATCACCTTCACCAGTGAGTCCTCCCTTTGTCGCCAGCTAACTGTCCCTCAGTGTCCGCCTCCCAGGATGACCCAGGTGCTCCCGCGGAGGATGGTTGGTGTGGGGTTCCCAGGGCATTGCTGGGCTGCGGTGCCCAGGCACGGAGCTCTCAGCATGACCAGGAAAAAGCATAACGCGCTGGTTGCTAAGCCGGGCACTCTCTCCTGGGAGTCACTCTCTTTAGAGCATTTATGTCTCATGGGTGTGATGTATAATGTAAAAGGAGCCAGGAACCTCATTTTCCCCTCCCACTCTCCCCCTCCTAGAAGGCCCTGCCAGAACCAGAAAGGGCCCAGGGGCAAGAAAGCCTCTGTCATTTTCCCCATAGTTCTCCTGAGCTCTGGTTCCCTGTCAGAACGGCTCCCCCAGTCCCTGTGTCAAACCAGAAGCAAAGGTCTGGGGCCGTGTTTCTGTTCAGCTCCGAAGCTTATTGGAGTCACCTCTAGCGGCATTCCCTTACAGCCCCTCAGGGCCACCGTCGGAAGATTGTCACCTCCAGTCTCCATCCCGGGCCTCTTCTCTAGAAGCAGCCTGAAGCTCAGCAGAGATTACTTTTATTTCTGTATGTCTTGGTTACAGTGGGGGTGGGGGCAGGGACAGAAGCTTGGAGACTGCAAATAGCAAGCCACCAAAGACAGCAAGAAGTGGTTGTCAGGTTACAAGAAGCTATAAATCCAGTGAACTTGGCCAGTGACTAGTAGTCAGGGGGGCTGGAGTTGGGTCTGCCTGAGCAACTAGCCAGATCCTTTCCCAGCGGCTGCTTGGAAAGGCAAGTCTGCGATGCAAGCTCCGTCCCACGCCACAGACACCACGCAGAGCTCGTCCCTCTGGTGCTCTTTGACAGGCCTGAGCTCCGCCAGCCCCACGCCCACCCTGGGCAGAGAGGGCTTGTTCCCCCTGTCCCTGGGGCCCAGTTGAGCTGAAGACTCGAGGTACTACATGGGGGGCCATTTGGGACCCCAGATTCCAAGGGCCCGGCCAGGCTAAAGCCCACTCCCCTCCCCTCCCTTCTTCAGAACACTCAACTTGCTAGAAACCATCGACCTTCTCCGGGCGTGTCTCCTTCAGGGGACTCCTGTCCCCACCATCTGTGGGCAGGAAGCAGTAGAGCTAAAGCCCGGTTCTGTCTTTCCCAGTCTTTCGGGTCCAGCGCTGACAGTACCGGTGTTTGACTGGTCTGTCTTCCCACTTGCTTTCCCCACAAGATCGTGAGCTCTGGAAAGGGGTGTTACTGGCCTTTCCATCCCTTCAGCCCAGCGTGGGGCCTGGGGTGTGGTAAGGACCAGCAAGTGATTATTGAATGGAAGGATCCAAGATGCTCTTTCCTGCCCTGGCGGGAATGGGAAGAACAGGGGTGAGCGGTGTCGCAGGGGAGCCCCCTTATCCAGGGTGGCGAGAGCTGAGGACTGTGGACCCTGAGGGGGAACTTGGGGCAAATGGATACTCAGTCTCCGAGGAAAATCAAATCCCAGTGAGCCCGCCCTCACTTCCAGGACAAATGCTGAGTCCTTGGGAGGAGCAGGCCACAGGTGGCCCAGAGGGTGAGCTTCACTTGAGGGCAGTAGACTAACCTGGGGATCAAGCTCTTACCAGCATTTCTCTCCAAGGTTTCTTCACCATTGTAAAAGTGACACACAGCCAATGTGTACATGCTAAGAACATGGAGCAGGTCAAAGAAGACATGTTAATTTCCACCCAAAATCCCCCCAGCCAGAAATGATTCTTGCCAACATTTGGTAAACACTATTATAGATACCAGACACTTTTCTAGGCATTTATATAGATGCACAATTGGATGCATAGATAGAAATAATTTTTTAAAATCTGGGCTGCATCCTAGGCCTGCTGAGTCAGAATCTCTAAGGGGTGAGGCCCCAGAATCTACATTTTCATGGGATTCTGAGGTGATTTTGATACAGCCAGTGAACAGTAGTCCTTGGACAAGCATTGGGAACTGGTGTATCTCCCTGCGGGACGCTAATCTCCTCCCACACCCCAGCTGATGGCATTGAGGCTGAGCTTGAATTTTCTCAGTGTCAGGAGCTCACCTCCCGAGACGGCTTCCTCCGTGGCTAGGGAGCACTCCATCTGTTCCCCTGTGTCCTTGTCACAAGGATCAGTGGTCCTGTTTCCAGCCCCAGTGCTCCTGGGAATAAACCCAATCTTTCTTCCACATGGGGCATAAGGGACAATGACAGTAGCTACCATTTACTGGGCACCTACCATGTGCTGAACCCTGTGCTGAACACTCCAGAGTCATCACCTGTAGCCTCACAACAAACGCTCCGTAAGCCAAAATCTGTCCCCTTTCACACGCCAGGAACTGAGGCTTGAGAAGGCACACAGGCAGAAGTGGGCAGGATTTAAATCCTTGACTTAGAGCTGTTGGTCCCGGACGTTGGAAATAGCTCCATATCCCTGCTATGTGTGTTCACATGTGCGCCTGCACATGTGTGTGCGTATGCATACATATGTGCATGGATCTGTGCACGCACGTGTGTGTATGTCTGTGTGACTGAAAGGGTTTTGAAGAGAAAACACCTAGACTCCTGAGTGCCAAGCACCACTTTCCTTCCCACCCCAAGTTTCTAAATGTCAGGGCAACTTCACAGTCACAGTTCCTAACCAAGAAAGGTTGGTAGACTGAAGTCTGGGCTGATATAGACTTTCAGAGGGACGGGTGTTGGGGACTGAGCCGAGGCCCTATAAGGGATCATGGCAGTCGTCTCCATGTCAGAGGCCCCCTCCGTTCATCTGCAGTGGGAAGGACCACCAGATTTGCAGGCGTCTTGCCTCCAGCAAGATCCAACAGCCTCCAGGAATTTCAGAGGCCTGGAAGTTTGAAAGGGGCACATGCCCGTGAAGCCATGGAGCGTGGTCTGCACTGGAAAGTCGCCGTCCTTACAACAGCAGGGTTGCAAACAGGGCCTGGCTTCAGAGACACGTAGCCTGAGAGCTGTGGCTCCCCATATGGAGGAAGGCGGGGAATGGGTTTGGTGGAGGCAGAGCAGGAAGGGTGTTGTTCCACGCGGGGAGGGGAGGAAGGAGGGGAGCTGCCACTTAATGAGCACTCGCTGCCCGTCAGGTGCTGCCCCAGACACTGCCACTCTCACAGTCACATCAGCTTCACTTTGTTTCTATCTCAGAATGGTCCTGCAAGTGAAGCACGATCTCCGTACCATTGGTCGAGAAACTGAGGCTCCACAAGATGACATGGGTTGCCCAGTGCCATGTGGCGAATAAGAGGCCGAGCACTGTCGTATCTGTGGTGCTCGGACTCTCCTTCTCCCACCTCGCTGCGTTATCACCCGTCCGGGTGGCGTGAGCGGCAGTCCTGGCAACAGGATGGAAAAGAAGGAAATGCCTTCGGACAGGGTTCACTCCAGGGAGCCTCCTTTATGATGCTTAGTGTCCATTAGGGTCACAGGATTTAGAGTCCCACTCAGCTGAAGCATAAATGATCCCATTAACTTCCCTGTCTGAAGTTAAGGAAACATGGAATGGATTTGACCTTGGGGAGACAGATCAATTCCTTAACCACCTTGAGCCTCAGTTTCCTCATTTGTAAACTAAGGTAACAATGTCGACTTCACAGAATCATTATGTGGTGTAAGTGGGCTCACGTGAGAGACACTCAGCGCGCTGCCTGATCTGTAAATGGATGGCCGTTAGAACGCAGCTGGAGTAGGTGCTCGAGGAGGTGGAGATCAAGTTTAACAAGCACCTGCTTAATGCCAGGCCCCAGGTGTCTAGCTCTCCCTCCAGCATGGCGGTTCTGGGGAAGTGGTGGGGGTCTAGGATTGACCATCGTAATGAAGCTCATTTTCTTCGGGAGTCCTGCACACCAGCTCTGTCTGACCATGTCCTTGACACTCATCCACACAGCCTTCCGACACAACGAGTGCCCGGATCCTGGCGTTCCGGTAAACGGCAAACGGTTTGGTGACAGCCTCCAACTGGGCAGCTCTATCTCCTTCCTCTGTGACGAAGGCTTCCTCGGGACGCAGGGCTCAGAGACCATCACTTGCATCCTGAAGGAGGGCAGCGTGGTCTGGAACAGCGCCGTGCTGCGGTGTGAAGGTACGAGCCAGCGGGCTGGGGGCGGTGGCCGTCAGCCAGAGAGGCTGGGGAGAGGGACCGAGTGGCCCCAACCACGGCGGTCCCTTTCTGTATCCATCCTTCCTCTTCTGCCAGGACCCAGGGCCACCCTCTTGCCCTAACACTAAAATATCAGGGGCTTTATAGGACCACTTCGCGTAGGAATTTGAATTGTAATCAGAGATTAAAGTGGAGAAATGCTGGCTCTGAACTGTCAGGCATCAAAAACACCTGTTCTTTCAACTGGGAACTCTCGGTACCGCAGCCATTAGGAGCCTGCCCAGGGGAGCCCCGGCAGCCCGAAGCAGTGTTGGCAGCACTGGGAGTTTTCAAATGTTTCAAGCCGCCTGCCAGTCTTGCCTTCTTCACATGCTAATTCCCCCCAATTCCCTGGGATATCTCCCAGTCTTGGCCTTTGTGCCCTGTTAAATGCTGCCTTGATGTCTTTGTGGTCAGTCCCCAGGAGGCTCAGGGCAGACCAGCTGGAAGAAACACGGCTTGAAGCAAACACAAGGCTTATCATTATGGCCTCTCCTCAGTCCTCCCTTGCCACACAGGACGGGTTTTGATTTACTTTTACACACCTGCCATCTGTTCTACCAAACTACAGACACTTAAAACGCAAATAAAGCTTCTTGAGGGCAGGAATGAGGTGAAATTGGTGTCGCAAACACAGTGCCTGGCACAGAATAGGTGCTCAATAAATATCTGAAGGTGGATGGATAGTGAGTATCCCAAAGGCCGTTTGGGGGCAGTGACGGTGTCCAAGGAGGCAGGGGCTGCGGTTCTCTCGTTTTGGGGGCCAGAAAGCTGCTTCACATCTCACGTGATGGGCAGAGAATGGAGACCTGAGAGGCCTCTCGACTTCCTCGCCCTGCAAAACCAAATCTGAGCGCCCTGGCCACGAGGGGGATGGACGGGAGACTGAAGGGGGCCTGCTTAGAGGAAGCATCACACAGAGCTGACAGGCAGGTGGCTGGGAGAGGAGAGACCACAGAGAACACAGTGCTCATGGCAAGGGGTCCCAGGGGGCTTTCAGGTCAGAGAGGACTGGGCTGGAATCCTGGCGAGTCGCTTTTTCCCCTCTGAGCCTTTGTTTTTTCAGTCAAAAAAAAAAGAAAGAAAAGGAAAAGAGTGGTAATATAATAAGATGTATGTGGAAGGGCAGTCCCTGGCATAAAGCTAGCTGTGCTCTCACTGTTGTGTGAGGTTACGGAATCTTCCTCGGCCTCATATCCCTGCACCTGGCATGGTGTTTGACTCTCGGTAGATGCTCAGCCAGGACTGGTTGATGAATCACTGAATGAATGAATGAATGAATGCCCTTTCACCTAGGATAGAGCCTCCTTAGTGAGAAGCATGTCAATGAAAGGTCTCCAGAGCCCTGACCAGACTGCCTGCCATCACCATCCTGCAACTTACCAGCCAGGTCACCCTGGGCAAGTGACTTAACCTCGTTGTGCCTCAGTTTCCCCATCTGTAAAATGCAGACTGATAATGGGAAGCTCCTTGCAGTGTTGTCGTGGGCATGCACAGTTCTTGGAGCAGTGCCTGGCAGAGAGTTAGTGCTCTCTAAGGGTTGGCTGTTAGCATTAACTTGATTTTAACCATTTCTTTGTTGGACCAATTAGATCAGTGTTGACTCCACTTTGAAGGGATCAAGTGGTGCGTTTCCATCCTTCTGGGTGCCTGCCCCAGCCAGGATGTGAGCAAATTTTAGTCTCTGACTTCCAAGATCCCCACAATGTGGTCCCCTCAACTTCATCTGCCATTTTTCCCCAGTGCAGTCAGCACTTTTGGAAATAGGATAAGCTTTGGAGTTAGAGAAACAACATGAAACTCAGTTTCAGCCCTTCCCAGCTGCGGAACTGATAGGTTTAGGTTAGGTAACTCCCGAGACCTCAGCTCCCGCGTTGGCAATAGGGGATAATCTTGCATATCTGATGGAGCTGTTTGCCGCAGAAACAGGTGACCATGCAAAGTGCCCATGCAGAACCCAGTCTGGAGGGTTGTCAGTCGGTGGTCGTTCACCTTCCTGCAGGCCAGCCCCCTCGTTTTCCCTTGCATGTACCCATCACCTCTGATGTTTTGGGTTTTCCTTGTGTTGGTTCATCCCTCTGACATCTTCCCTGCTGTCTCTAGCCCACCTGATCTCTTCCTTCTCCTAATTCCTGTTGTTCTTCATGGGCCACCTCTGGACCACTCTATTGGACCTTGGTCTTGCCATTATTACACTTTTCTTTACCAGTTCCATGGGCCTTGGTCCTAGCTCCCCACCAAGATTGTGGGCGGTTCCAGGACAGAAGCCCAAATCCCCATTGTCCCTGAGCCTGCAGGGGCTCAGTCCCAAACAAGTCGACCCCACCGAAGAAGCCTCGGGACTTGGTAACTGCAGATTCCTCCTCTCCACTCCCTGCACTCCTGAATCAGGTGCTCCTAGACCAGAGCTCTATCGATGCAGGGAAACACTCAAGACCACGTGAAAGAATTTGACCTTTGTTAATGGATCTTCAAGTGGCTCACTATTTCAGAAGCGAAGTCCTAATTTTAAAATTAAAATGATCTTATTCATTCTGTTGCTGGAGGGGAAAATGCTGTAGGTTTGGGAGCAGTTGGCACCAGAAGTAAGTAAGAGGCAGCCTGTTGGAGACCCTGATGCGGCTCTGGGCAGAGCCTGCTAGGTTTTCTCAAAGTGATGGGCATGTGATGCAGCCTGGTTCGCAGGGACCTGAGGAGCAGCGTATCAGAGAGGCAGAGTGAGAGCCAGATGCCACCCACGGTGGCCAAATGCAGCGTTAAAACCTTAGAGAGAGCTGGGCAACGAACCCCCGGGAACCTGCCCCTCCTTTGGTCACGCGGTGGGAGAGCCTTGCTTTGTAATCAGCATCTTTGTCTTTTCCATTTTTTCTAATTTTGTTTTTGATTAAGTATCTCCACCTTGTGGACAATTAAATGCAGAAGCTAATGGTCTTTTTGAAAATCTTTTAATATATGCTAAGAGCCACTTAGCTTTTGAGAGGCTATAATATGACAAGGGAGAAGATGGCTTCTCCTAAATTTAGAAAGAAGGATGATCATCTGGCAGATCTGGAGCAGGAGGTGACTAACTTTTTCTTAAAGGGCCAGAAAGGAAGTATTTACGACTCTGTGGGCCATAATGTCCTTACTCAACTCTTCTGTCATAATGTGAAAGCAGCCTTAGATGATATAGAAATGAACGGGGCAGATTTGGCTGGGTCTGTGGTCTAGAGATTCAAAATCAGTTTAAAATCGGAAATTTCCAAAGACAGACTCCCAGGTAGTAAAGGCCGCTACCCAAGAGTGCATGGCTATCTCCCTGCTGCCCATGTGCATCTCCTCCTTGTCTCTTTAAAGGAAGAGCAAAATAATCATACCCCACTATGATAAGTGTTTTACAAGTGTGAACTCATTTCAACCTTGCACCAGTCCTAGGAAATATAGATGTAGTTATCACCACTGGGGCCCAGAGAGGTTAAGTCACCTGCCTAGGGTCCTCCCAGCTTTTAAGTGATAGAGCCAGAATTCAAATCCAGGCTCTTGGCCACCCTGGTACTGTATTTTTCTTGAATTATATCACTAGAGAGAATATAACTTTCAACACATTTATGAAAGCCTTAAAAGCATCTACAAATTGAATGAAAAGCAGGTTTTCTACTTTCCACATCCCAGTAGGAAATTAAAACAAAAGGAAACATATTACCATTTGCAAAAGACAAAGAAGACAGGACACTGCATGGAAGCATCAGCAATCGATAGCACGAAGCAAAAGGACAGTGGCAAGACAGACAGACCAGCTATGACAATAAATGTAATTAAACTCCCTATTAAAAGACAAAGACTCTCAAGCTGAGTTTTTAAAAAAATTTCGCTTGCAAGAAATACATGAAAAAAGGAGGTCAATTACCTACAATGAGTGTGTGTTTTCATTTCTTAATTTTTAAAGGAGTATTTGGTAGTTGTAGGAATTTCAAACGTTGCCCAAGTGCAATAAAGTTCAAAGTGAAAATACTCATTTCTCAATCTCACTCCCCAGAGGAAAATGGTTTAACAATTTGGTATAAACACATCCATGTATTTTCTCTATCTGTACACCAAATGTGTTCCCTTTATAAACAGAAAAAACAAGTCCTATATTAAAGAAAGAAAGTCAATTCTCCTCACTCCCATAAAGAAACCTAAGTGAGTGCGAGTTGTAGCTTATTTAAGCCTCCAAGGAAGAATTTTAAGGGTAGTTATTGAGTTTCTAACAATTACTCATTCAACCTTATTGTCACTTTTGTGAGAAAGATATAATTGTCCTTTATACCTAAGAATTCTGAAAACCAGTGAGGTGAATTGACTTGCTCCAAATCACCCAGCTAGTAATAATTGAGCACTTACTATGTGCTAAATACTAGGCCAAGTGCTTTTTTTTTTTTTTTGAGACAGTCTCACTCTTTTTGCCCAGGGTAGAGTGAGTGCCGTGGCGTCAGCCTAGCTCACACCAACCTCACACTCCTGGGCTTAAGCAATCCTTCCGCCTCAGCCTCCCGAGTAGCTGGGACTACAGGCATGCGCCACCGTGCCTGGCTAATTTTTTTTCTATATATTTTTAGTTGTCCGATTAATTTCTTTCTATTTTTAGTAGAGATGGGGTCTTGCTCTTGCTCAGGCTGGTCTCGAACTCCTGAGCTCAAACAATCCGCCCGCTTCGGCCTCCCAGAGTGGTAGGATTACAGGCGTGAGCCACCGCGCCCGGCCACTTTTTTATTGATTTGTGGGGTACATGTGCTTATTGGATATCTTGCATAGTGGTGAGGTCTGGGGTCTTTGTGTAACTCTCATCCAATTAGTGTACATAGTACCCACACCCATCTTCTGCCCTTCTGAGTCCCCAATGCTTATTATTCCCCTCTGTGTCTATGTGTCCTCATTATTTAGCTCCCACTTATAAGTGAGAACATACAGTGTTGACTTCCTGA